AACTGCCGAACTAGCAGTCAGCTGAAGTGGCCTGCAGTACTGCACTCTACCCACTGCACCACCTCGGCTCTTTCAAAATATATTGAGATGCTCAATATATTTTTTAAAAAAAGACCAAATTTGAACCTCGCTTGCTAGGTGACTTAATCTCACCTGAATGGTGCAGCCAAGGTGCATTTTGATGTCCAATCGTAACTTGCTCCACAAGAGACTGGAGGAAGGCAGGACTAACCTACAAGAATTAAGGAAGACATGGTTTAGGAGTAAATACAGTATGTCATTCAAAGGCTGTCATTCCTCTGATGGGAGCCGATGGAATTTCAACTGGGCTAGCTGCTGTTCAACCAGGAAAGTTTCTTGCCTGTGATGCATTTAAAATTCAAGGTAGAAAATAAACACCGTATTTTTCAGAGTATGAGATGCACTTTTTCCCCCTAAGAGAGATTGAAAATTTGGGTGTATCTTATACTTCGAATGTAGCTCCACCCACCCGTGGCCCACACCCTTTGGTCCCTTCCTCCCAGCAATTTGCCTCCTCGCAGCAAAGAGCAAACAGCCTGTTTCAGTTTCAGCACAGCCTGATTAGCACAAGCAGCTGATTGTTGGTTGGATCGGCCTCCCGGCCATGAGCTGTTTCAGGCTGCAGGGAGTGCTATTGCCCCATTTTCGGCCTCCACATCCCATTTTTGGCCTCCGCACACCCCGTTTTCCACTTCCGTGTGCCGCATTTTCCTCTCATTCTGATCCCTTTTAATAGTTTTTTTTTAAAAAATTCTGCTCAGGATGGATAAAATTGGACACCAGGAACCGAAGGAATAGTCTTTTGCAGACTATTCCTAGGCTGGAAGAATAGAGAGCAAATAAATGTGGATAAGCAAAATAAATAAATAAACTTACTTTGATTTATTTTTTGCAGATTTCACTTGGAGCAATTTTTGCACAAGAACGAAAAGGTCCCGGACACAGAAGGAGACAAGAGTGTTGAAAACTAAGCAGGAGATGAAAAACAATAAAGAGACATTTCATCAATGAATTTAGCAATCGTGAGGGAGGACTGGTTCTGACGGAGAGCACGAAGCAAACTCCTGGTCCTGACAAAAACCCCTTTTATTAATTGACTGTGGATTCTGTTCCTTCACATCCAGCAAAGTCTTTCGAGGGAGGATTTACGGTCACAGACCTTATCTGGCTTGGAGAGCTGCCAGGCCGATAGCTGCAGAACTTGGCAAGGAGCCTTGGGGAGTAAGGAACCAATGAAGTGAACTAATGGTCTCCTGCAAACTCCACTCCCCTTTCGCTCCTCCTTTATTTCCTCTGGGAGGGGCCATTCACCATCCACCTGTGGCCTTAGTCCAGAGTCAACCCCTGTTCTTTAGCTGTTCCCTTCGTCTGGCAACTCACACTGGGAACAGGCTCCAGCTGTTCTTCTGCCTCACTGATGTCTGACCCCAAAGGCAGCTGATAACTGGCATACGG